CCCTCCCCCTCCCTCCCGAGAGGAGGAGCCCTCAGCCAACTGAAGGACGACTTTCTGTCTATCCTCTGAAGCAGGAAATAGGAGAGACTGGCACAAAGGAGCTGTGATGTGAAGAACAGGAAGCAGGAAGCAGCATAGAGTCAGTTGCTCTTGGGCCAGATTGGAGCCCTGCAGGGGCTGGATCCGCCCCGCAGGCTGTATGTTTGACACCCCTATTCTAGGGTGTTCATGAATGGATCTGCTAGGCATTTTTAATTGGTAAATTGCAGTTATGGAGGAGATCCAGAATGGATTCCCTGAATATTTTTATTGGTAAAGAACAGCTGCATGAGGCCTTGGCCATACTGGGACTATGGTGTGCAAATGAGGGGGCCCCTTTTGTTCCATGTTATTTTCTCAATTACAATGGTCCCCCAAGCCTACAATTTGCCCCATTGGGGGAAACATACAAATGACAAATATGTTGCCTGTGTTTCTCCAATAAGGCAAATGGGAGGACCTTTTGGGATCAGGAAAACGGCATGCGGATGGATAAGCCCGCACTATCCTATAAGCAAATTCTGAATCAGGCAATCTATATCAGGGCTTTCTACAGCTGCTCTTTACCAATAAAAACACTCAAGAGTCGCATTCACTGAGTTACCATTTTGTCTAGTTCATTCCTCCATCTTTCACTGACACTTTCCTCCCAATGGGGAAATTTCAGTACAAGGATTTTTTCTTTCTGCTATTTCAGATGACTGAATAATCAGCCCTGGTAATGCAGACTAAAGCCTAGGCAAGGTCCAAATCCAGAACTACTTCTGCTTAGGATCCTGATAAATGCAGTTCTGCTTGGTGTGCCAATGTATACCCAAGCAGGGCTTGTAGTAGAATCTGAAACTTTGTTGATATGGCTAATTTTCAGGGTAGATTAATTTTTATAAAATGAGGAGGGGTTCTTCCCAATGATTATGCATCTCTTTCTGTTTTTTCTTTCTGCAGCTAGTATTGCCAGAATATTCCATCCATAGCCTTTTCTGTATAATGTTTCTGTGTGCTCAAGAATGGCTGACCCTTGGCTTGAATATCCCTCTGCTTTTCTATCACTTTTGGAGGTAAGTCAAAATCCTACTGGGATGCTCACTGAACACCCCACCACCACATTTTCAGGCTGCCACCTCTTTTCCCCACTCCTTCCAGCATTCAGTGTCTTTAGCAGCTATAACAATCAGAAATAGAAGAGGTGAAGGTTTTCATTGCATGGAAGAGAAAGGCTGTACCTGATAAATTTGCACCTATCAATTACCTTTAAAAGGCACAAGTGCTTCCTTCCAGGAAAATGAGACAACCCTGGTCCCAGCATGTGTACTTAGGATGCTGAATACTCATTGCTGCATAACAAAACATTAGAGGGAAAGCCCATATCTAAGTTGTAGAGGACATGCTTTGCAGACAAAATTTTATTTATTTATTTATTTAATTGGATTTACTAGGTCGCCCTTCCCTACTTGTAGGGCTCAGGGCAGCTTACAACAAAATAGTATACAATATCGTACAACAGCATTTGAAACTATCCAATAAATAAGACTAGATAAAAACAGTATATGTACCATATATAAGATGGTGGAAGGATCCATACCCAGCCTCCCTCGGGGGTGGGGCCTTGCGGGGTGGGGGATTATATGAGAGTGCCAGAAGAACCAAAAGCCCGGCGGAACATCTCTGCCTTACATGCCCTGTGGAAAGGTAACAACTCCTGCAGGGCACGGATGTCTTCCGGCAGAGTATTCCACCAGGCAGGGACCAGTGCTGAAAATGCCCTGGCCCTGGTCGAGGACAGCTGGACTTCTCTTGGACCGGGGACCACCAGCAAATTCTTATTTCCTGAGCGTAATGCTCTTCCGGGGCATACTGGGAGAGGTGGTCCCAAAGGTATGTTGGTCCCTGACTGCTAAGGGCTTTAAAGGTCAGTACTGAAACCTTGAACTCAAATGTGAACTTGTGGATCTCCTGACAAAAATATGTAATCCTTCCTTAAAATCTGCCTCCATTCCTGAGGACTGGAAGGTAGCAAATGTCACTCCCATCTTTAAAAAGGGTTCCAGAGGAGATCCGGGAAATTACAGGCCAGTCAGTCTGACGTCGATACCGGGTAAATTGGTGGAAACCATTATTAAGGAAAGAATTAGTAGGCACATAGATGAACAAAACCTATTGAGGCAGACTCAACATGGGTTCTGTAAGGGAAGATCTTGTCTCACTAACCTGTTAATGTTCTTTGAGGGGGTGAACAAACATGTGGACAAGGGGGATCCAATAGATATTGTTTACCTTGACTTCCAGAAAGCTTTTGATAAAGTTCCTCATCAAAGGCTCATAAGTAAGCTCAAAAATCATGGGATAAAAGGACAAGTCCTTTTATGGATCAAAAACTGGCTAATTAATAGAAAACAGAGAGTGAGTATAAATGGGCAGTTCTCCCAGTGGAGGGGGGTAAGCAGTGGGGTACCACAGGGATCAGTACTTGGTCCACTGCTTTTTAACTTGTTCATTAATGATTTGGAGTTGGGAGTAAGCAGTGAAGTGGCTAAATTTGCGGATGATACAAAGTTGTTCAGGGTGGTGAAAACCAGTGAGGATTGTGAGGCACTCCAAAGGGATCTGTCAAAGATGGGCAAGTGGGCGTCAACATGGCAAATGGGGTTCAATGTGGCCAAGTGCAAGGTGATGCACATTGGAGCCAAAAATCCTAAATATAAATACACATTGATGGGGTCTGAACTGGCAGAGACTGAGCAAGAGAGAGATCTTGGAGTTGTAGTGGATAACTCACTGAAAATGTCGAGACAGTGTGTGACTGCAATAAAGAAGGCCAATGCTATGCTGGGGATTATTAGGAAGGGTATTGAAAACAGATCAGCCAATATAATAATGCCCCTATATAAATCAATGGTGAGACCTCATTTGGAATACTGTGTGCAGTTCTGGGCACCACACCTTAAAAAGGATATTATAGCTTTGGAAAAAGTGCAGAAAAGGGCAACTCGAATGATAAAAGGGTTGGAACACTTTCCCTATGAGGAAAGGTTAAAGCGCTTAGGGCTCTTTAGCTTGGAGAAAAGACGACTGAGGGGTGACATGATCGAGGTTTATAAGATTATGCATGGGAAAGAGCAGGTAGAGAAAGAGGTACTTTTCTCCCTTTCTCACAATACAAGAACCCGTGGGCACTCCATGAAATTGCTGAGCGGTCGGGTTAGAACGGATAAAAGGAAGTACTTCTTCACCCAAAGAGTGATTAACACATGGAATTCACTGCCACAGGAAGTGGTGGGTGCTACAAGCATGGACGGCTTCAAAAGGGAATTAGATAAGCATATGGAGCAGAGGTCCATCAGTGGCTATTAGCCACAAGGTATAGCTAGGGGCTCTGGGGCAAGTGATGCTCTGTCTTCTTGGTGCTTGGGGGGGGGGTCAACAGTGGGAGGGCTTCTAATGTCCTGGCCCCACTGCTGGACCTCCTGATGGCACTGGTATTTCTGGCCACTGTGTGACACAGAGTGTTGGACTGGATGGGCCTTTGGCCTCATCCAACATTGGCGTCTCTTATGTTCTTAACCTGTTCCAGTGCTCCACTGGGAGCCAGTGCAGCTCGCGCAGCACTGGTTGGATGTGTGCTATACGAGGGGTCCCTGTAAGGACCCGCATGGCTGCATTTTGGACCAGTTGAAGCTTCTGGGTCAGGCAGAATGTTCCAGGTTAATTCTCAGTATCCCTAGACAGGAGGAATTTGGGTTGCAAGTCTGAGAAAGACCCCCCTGGAAAACTTCCTTTTGGAAACAGTAGACAATACTGGGTTAGATGGACCTGTGGGGTCTGATTCAAATGGGCTTTGTACAAGGTAAGAAGATTAAGGTTTACACTCCATATATTTCCCCTATGTGGGGAAGGGCAACAGGTGGGGTGGATTTTGAGCAGAAAAATGGCCAGAAAGAAGGTTACACACTTTCTACCTTCTCTCTTTTACTCTTGATTGAAGAAGTGGTTTCTTAAAAAAAAAATTATTTGCATTTATTAGAGTACTGTCTAGTCTATTCTCCTTATTCTTTTGTCCCTCATAATTTTTCATGCCTTCTCCTTTGCATTTCACTAGATTTAATGTGTCCTGTTCATCTCTGGGACATGTTCTGCAGTGCTCAAACGCCCACTTGTTACTCTGTCTATTGCTGATCTGAATTAAAGCTATTAAAGTGGGGAATTTGCAAGGACTAGTTGTGGGGAACCTGGATTGCCCAGGTTAGCCCTGTCTTATCAGATTTTGGAAGCTAAGAAGAGTCAGTGCTGGTTAGTACTTAAATGGGAAGACCAGGGTTGCTGTGCAGAGGCAGGCAATGCCAAACCACCTCAGTTCATTTCGTGTCTTGAAAATCCTACAGGGTTGCCATAAATTGGTTATGACTTGATGGCATTTTCCAACACCTCTAGCTGAGGTAAATCTTGTTTTCCCCGTTCCTTTCCCCCCTCTTGCTTTTCCTGTTTGCTTCCTGGCAGTGCCTGCAGCTTCTCCCCTTTATTTCCCCCTTCTAATCTACTTACCTACCTACCTACCCACTCACCCACTCTTTTCTGTTTCCCTCTTACATCTTCAGCTTCCCTTTTTAATTTTTTTCCTTCTTCAGCTTTACCTTCTGAACCTCCTATCTTTTTAGTCTATCCCCATACACAATGATATGACTGAGACTTGGAATTGTTGGCAGGGTTGTTTGCTGGTTGCCAAAATGGCTACCAACATCTCACAATGTAGACTTGTGAGATCTCAGTGATACTTTTTCTTAAAGAAACAGACACAACTTCTATGATTTTGGAGTTTGTCTATCCCCCAGTGTATATATTTTTTACATTTCATATTTGTCTCCAAAGCTGCGGCTTCTCCCAGGACTGTAGACCCCTACCCCATCTGGCTCTGGCCCTATTGTGGATTTTTTGATTCACACTCTATGGCCCAGTTCAGAATATCCTAACATATGAAGAAAAAGTAGGACCATCTTCAACTAAAAGGAGTGCAGAAAAAGCATGCAGTGGAAAAAATGAAGCTATTGTAATAAATGGCTCCATTAACTGATAGTAAACCAAGCTCAATGTCAGTAATTTCAAAGGGTTTAGGTTTATACTTACATAAAGAACATCATTATTACATGATAATGGTGTTTTATGTAAAAATCACCATACCATCCTATCTATGCTTAAATTCATTTATTGGCTATTACATGATATTGGTGTTTTATCACCATACTATCCTATCTATGCTTAAATTCATTTATTGGAGTAAAGACATGAAATAAATAAATAATCAGTAACTTGATGCCTATATGATATTGTATCTTCTTACCACTGAAAAATTGCTAGGTTAAAGTACCTACTGCCTACTGCTGTTCTGCAAAACTCTATAATATAGAACACTGAGCTCCTCAGATTTTAATCTGGGTCAAAATTGGGGCTCTCTCTTGGGTTTGTTGTCACAGAGCAGAAGTCAACAAAGACTGAGGAGACATTCACATAAACATTGTTTTTCAGCTCTGCAAATCTGCAAGATTCAGTAGCTGAAAAGAATTTGCTTGTGCAAAGTATGGTGACCATGAACACCATTATACATTGGACTCATGTATACAGTGTATTTCCTTGCAGGGAAGATGTCTTCACTTGATTGCACCAACAGAAAAGACGTACAATACTTATACAAAAGTGCCCAGAATGTCGGAAATCTACTTTCTAACACAGCTAATAAAATATACATATCAAAAAAGAAGAATTGTTTGTAACCCAAAATAATGAGCAGGGTTCATATCCATTTTCCCCCTGAACAACTCAGGGCCCAAGATGGGTAACAACAATATAGAATACCATAAAACTTTGTACAATTACAGAGATTTTAAAAAATCCATTTTTATGAAGATTTGTGGCTATTTAAATCAGAATACTGCAGATTCTCTCCAGGTGTTTTCTTCTCTTGCAGGTATTTCCATTGTCCAGCAGACAGTCCTGAGTTAGCATATGACCCACCTGCAGTAATGAATGCAGACACCTTGATCTACTGTCAAAGAGAGGCCTGGTGCAAATTAGCTTTCTATCTCCTCTCATTCTTCTATTATCTTTACTGGTAAGCTTTGACTCATGTTTCCCCCTGAAAATTCTTTACCAGAGCACATTTTCAGTCCTCATGAAAGTGGATTTTTCTTACTTGTTCAGTACTACCATATATTATTATTATTGCTGTTACTACTTATATATGTAGGCCCAAAGAGGAATAGCAGGATAAAAGTGTTTATTTCGTAGGCACATTTGCATTAAATTGCTCTGTTAAAATAAAAAGTGAACTCATTTTCTAGAGTCAAATATTGGAGGAGTATACATTGGGACTGATGATGGACAGAACACTGGTAGGGGTGTGCAAAAAAAGAAGAAATATTTTTTTGGGTTTAGGTATATTGAACCTGAAAAATATTGGCATTTCCTGATATGCTTGAATCCCAACATTGGTATGGTATTGGGATTCAGAAAAGGTGGAGAAGGTGTTTAAACACTTTTTGGGCAAACCCACTGCTTGGGCATTCACTTGCATGGTGCGGCTTGCAAAAGGCATTTAAATGCCTTTTGCAAGTGCCGCTGCATGAATGGAGTCCCAAGTGGAGTTCACTTGTGCGGTGCAGCTTACAAAAGGCATTTAAGACATTTAAAGGAAACGTGTTCCCTTAAAATGTCTTTTGCAAGCCACACTGTGGATCAGATGGGGTGGCGTGGAGCTGAGAGCTCTGCACAGCCGCGACTGGGGCTGGCTCTTGGTATAGCTGAACACACCCAAATAAAATTCAAAATAAATTTGGTTTTTTTGGGCTCAGCCAGGCCCATAGCCGAGTACAGATTTCTGATCTGTATTTGGCTTAAGCCATACCCAAATGCACACCCCTAAACACTGCATCTCTGGCTTTATCTGCACTAGCAGTAGTTCACACATCCTGATATTGCTAGTCCTCCATCTATGATCTCCTCATGAAAAACCGTGCCCCCAATAATAAAGTACAAACATTTGGGTGCAGACTGAATCTCACATTCAGCTGTATTTCTGGCAGCTCCCAGGTTAAGACCAGGAGAGGCATCCCAGTCTAGGAGATAACACCAATACACACTGTCATTTTTGTCACATGTTTGTTCCTATTGCTTCAGGGTCGTCATCCCCCCCCCCAAAAAAAATGTGTTTTGCTTTCTCTAGTAGTCCCAGAGGGAGCAAAACACTTGTGGGAAAGGGGGGTGGAACCCAAAGCAACAGGGAAAACCAAGTGACGAAAGTGATGTAGCTTCCCCCACCCCATGTCCAGGCATGCTGAGTCACTCTCTCCAACAATGTGACACCTTCTTTCTGTTTGTTTAGGTACCAAACCAAGATATTGCACTTTTAACTGAGAGGCTCCATTGTTTTCAGTGTATTTATGATCTGTTCATAGCCTGAAGACTGTTTTACCAGTCTCATTTTAGACTGCTCTATTTCTTTAGGTGCTTTTATGCCCTGGCTTGTTTTTATTGGCATTTTTATTGAGTTGGCTTGATTATTGACTTAGATTGGCTTCTTGGTATGTTTTTATTGGTATTGTTCTTATTGTCTATATGTTTTTTTTAAATAATTGCAAGCAGCTTTGAGCCGGTCTGAAGAGGCAACATCCAGATTTTTAAAATCAGTAACTGAGGGTCTGACTTAGCATTAAGCAGCTATATTTACCACTGTCTTGTCTAATTTTGCCTCTTTAAAGGAGTTTCACAGATTTTCCTTAGAATAAAGTAGGATAATTAGATCTATTTTTATATACTCGATGGCAGGGATCCCCAATGTGATGCCTGTGGGCACCATGTCATCCGCCAGCACCTCTCCTGGTACCTGCCAGTTGTTTTTAGAATGTGATCAGGACTAGGTGAAGCTTTTGCCAGCAAGGCCATTGGAGACCTGATTGGCTGTGTAGAACTTTTAAAAGTTGCTTTAACAACAGCTGCCACCACAGCACAAGGATCTTCAATGCATTACTGTGTGTGTATATACAAGAAAATATTTTAAAAATTATGTTCATTTTGAAAGGAATCCTGTTAAACAGAGCTTATCCCTAAAATGTTGAAGAGCTGTGCATAACCTCAGACCCTGACTTTTTGTAGTTGACGCCACCACCAGTGTTCCCTCTAAGCTGAGTTAGTGTGAGCCAGCTCACAGTTTTTTAGCCTCCGGCTCACACATTTTTGTCTCAGCTCAGGAAGGAGGGCTCCAGAACACACTAATTTATGCAGTAGCCAAATCACCTGCTCACAACTTTAATGCCGGTAGCTCACAAAGTAGAATTTTTGCTCACAGGACTCCACAGCTTAGAGGGAACATTGGCCACCACCTGCAACAGCTGTGCTGCAGTTGCTCCCACCTCCCTGTGTCAGAATACCAAAGGTGACCTCAGGCTCGAAAAGGTTTGAGGCCCCTGCTCTATGGTATATTATTTACACAATTACATTTTTCAAAAGAAAATTTTCTTTTTAAGCTTGGGGTTTCTTCCAGCCCAGGAAAAACAAAACATAGCAGCAGCATTTACATACAAGCTAAGGCTGTACTTTGGAGGATTACTGACAGAAGTTTCAAAGATCAAACATAGCTGAAGGGTTTTATTTCTTAGTGTCAGATTCAGCAGACGTATAGGCACAGCTTAGAATGTGGTGAAAAAATAGCCCCCAAATGGCCTTGTTAAATCTATTGTAATTTGAATATATCGTGGAGATGCAATGAAGGCACCTGCTACAGAAGTATAGTAAAGAAGAAAACTGGTCATGAGAGTCAAGTATAAAGTGCAGAGGGTTATGGGTTTAAAAAGTGGTTCTGCATGCTACAAAGGGATCCTTTCATTCTATACTTTTCCCCTTCGTATTCAGCATGATCTACGCTTTAGTGAGTTCCTAACTCAAAGATCATCATTAAAGACTGGAAACAGCGAAGGATGCAGAATAAAGACAAGCCAGTCTACAGGGATGCTTGGCACATAAGATGCGGCCAGGAGATGAAGGCTTTGAATCTGACAGCTGTACAGGATGGAAAGGGGAAACTCCTTGAGAATAACAGTTAACTGCAGAACTGGAGTAACATGGAGGTGATAAACTGCTGAGTAAACTGTTTCTCTCTCTTACCTCTCTGCATTTTAAAGTCTGGATTTTTGGATTCCCAGCACCACAAACTAAACAAACACGACTATTTTACCAAGTTAAAGGCAGCCACATGTAAGGATAATTTTATCTGCATATGATGGGAGAAAATGTCTCTGTACCCATTTTTCCCCGAGAGGCTGGAAATCAAAATGGCTTCCTAAAGAAACTGTGGCCAAGAAAACTGCTGTTCATAGGGACTTTCAACCTTCTGTTTCTACAGCACAAGTATTTGGTAGAGAAACTTGTGCAATCACTCTCATGATTCATATAAATTTGAGTAAGAAGAGAAGTGCTGCAGCTTGACAGAAACATTCAAAACAAACTCCTAATTTGTCGTCGAAGGCTTTCACGGCCGGAGTTCATTAGTTACTGTAGATTTTCCAGGTTGTGTGGCCGTGGTCTTGGCATTGTAGAGCCTGACATTTCGCCAGTAGCTGTGACTGGCATCCTCAGAGTTATAACACAGAAAGATGGACTGTGTTATACCTCTGAGGATGCCAGGCACAGCTACTGGCGAAACGTCAGGTTCTACAATGCCAAGACCACGGCCACACAACCCGGAAAATCTACAGCAACTAATAAAATCCCAATTATTCCTGTGGTTGGCTCTGCACTACATTATGGTTGACATTAGCATGTTCCTGCTGTGCTGAACTAATTCACATGTGGTGCAATAAAATAGTACTAGTGCATTGCATATGATGGCATACTTATGTCAAGCATTCTGTAGTATAACATTCCTCCTACTGGAGGAAATATATACTAGTAACACATATGAAGGAATAAGGTAACAGAATATTCTATAACCTAAGTACAAACTGTAAAGGACCACATTACTTTGGTCTGCAATCTTGTTATGTGGCTTCAGTTGTATGATTCAAGCTGAGTCTAAGGTTAATGGGACTGTTCAATTATTTTCTTGTAAGTAAATGGATGTTGTAGAATATAGTAATAAATTGTGATTTTTAAAAAATATAATGCAAGTTTTACACATTCATTGGAGATATGTTTCTGGAAAGGTCAGCAACTTTATGTACCTGTTATGCATTTATATACACACATTATCTATCTTGTTTAGATACATACATTTTTTATAGTTTCAAAGAGTAGCCATGTTGGTCTTCAGTCCCTGACGTCAAGTCCCTGACAAAGTGAGGTTCAATTCTCGAAAGCTTCTACCCTGAAAATCTTGTTGGTCTCTAAGCTGCTACTGGACTCCAATCTAAAACATTTTGTATGTGTATCTGGGAATGTCAGGATCTTCTTCGTAGTCTCTGTGCAGTCCACACACCATGGGTTCCACGCCTCCGCCTAACCCCATCCAAGAAGTCTAAAAAGCTTACTAGATGCGGTGTCTGCCTCAGTCTCATGAAGCCTGCTCCTACTGAGCATGCTCAGTAGCCGAGGCAGACCCCGCCTCCCACTCAGTTCATTCTTAACCACCTCTAGATCAGATGTCTTTCTTCATCACTCCGGGAAAGCCTCCTCAGGCTTACACTAACTGTCAAAACAAGTGAGAGGGAAGGAGAGAGACTACACAAACAAACAGTAGGAAGTTTGCGAACAATTTCTTCCTCACATCTAATTACTCTGATCCATAGCCAACTAAGCATTTTATGGAACCAAACCCATTCTTTAAACGGTGCCTAAGTTGTGAGACAAAAATACCCTCAACCGACGGCCACAAACACTGCTTATACTGCCTGGGGGAGGATCACCGAGCTGCCTCCTGTAAACACTGTAAACCCAGGCACGTAAAAATAGGGTGTCTCGCCTGCGACTTTTCCTGCTAGAGCAGTCCCTGACTCTGAGCATGAGTGAGCCAATGGAAATCCAGCAACCGCCGCCTCCCCCATCCGCTGAGCAGGGAGATTCGGAAAAGCAGAGTACGGGCGTGTCTAAGCAAAAGAAAACAAGGCTGACAAACCACCCAAAAGACCGGCTGGCTCATAAAAGGGCCCCACAAAGCCGAAGGTTGCTAGGTTGCCAGAGACGGCTGTCTCCGATAGGGCATCTAAGCCCGTGGGTGAGAAACACCAGTCTAAGTTACAAGTCACACTGATACACCGCACGGGCTTGTCTACGGGATCACACTCCATGAGACTTGCAGATGCCAAATCAGGCTCGAGACCTAGCCAATTTATATGCATGCCAGCATCAGGTCTGAGACCAGCTGCCTCTACAAGCAGTGCTGCTCAAATGCGGTCCCTGTCCATACAGTCACTCCTGCCTCTTCAGATCCTGGCAGATGACAGCTCAACTACCGGACAACAAACTCCTGAGCACTCTGAGCACTACAGCGAATGTACACAGTATCAATACCCCGATTACCAGAGCTGCTCACCTAGCGAGTACTATGACATAGGGAACTGGAGCCCTGATCAGTCAGCGCCAGGGGCCTCACCACACCACCCACAATACCACACTACTCACCACGAGCATTTGGTTAGGTCCAGGTCCAGATCCCTATCCCGAGGAAGAGACTACAGAGACCCAGCCTATGGCCCCAACCCCCACGACCGGGAGAGAAGACAGCAGGCTCCAGGAATGATCAATCAACCCCAGCACCAGGGAGCTGCAAGAGATCGGGGGCGTTCCCCACCAGCAGTGCCTAGGCACAGGGAGCCTACATATACAAGCACTGGCCAGGAGAGGGCACGCAACTCCTTAAAGAGGGAGGATTATGCCATCTGGAACATGCAAGCGTTCTCCCCGCCGGGAGGATCAGACTCGGATAGAGAGGGGTCCGACTCCCATAGAGATGGGGTAGGAGAGGACCTGACTGGTCAAGAAACGGAACCCCAGCAAGCCATGCCAGGTCAGGACACTAATAAAGGTTTCTTGGACCTGCTGCAGAACATGGTGAACACTCTAGGGATCCAGTCAACATCTGCAGCAGCACCTGTCACAGATTTAGTGCATGACATGCTGCAGGTAGATAGACCTGTACCATTTGTACTGCCTGCATTGCCTGTGCACATAACAACGCTGCAGGAAGCCTAGAAAAAACCTGCTTCAGTCCCACCAGTCCTGAAGCGCTATTAGACGATGTACAGGGTGCAGAGTGAGAGCGATATTTTTCTGCAGTCTCAACCTGAGCCAAATTCTGTGGTAGTACACTCATCATCCAAGATGAAGCAGTCACAGTACCTAGCCCCGCCTGACAGGGAAGGGTGAAAGATAGACTCAGTGGCAAGAAAAATTTATGCAGCCATGTCCACTGCCGCGAAAATGCAAACATACATCTCCTACCTCTCAGCATACATCTTTAATATGTCAAACAAAATTGAGAGCCATTTTGAACACTTACCCGTAGACACGAGAGCAGAGGCACCAGTGGCTTTCCAGGAATCGCAAAGAGCTGTGAAACAACAGGTTGTGACAGTCAGGCATTCTATCTCCTGTTTTTCAAGGATCATGGCCACGGCCATGGCGCTTCACAGGTATGCTTGGCTAAGATCGACATCGGTCCAGATGGACATCAAACAAAGAATTGAGGACCTCCCGTTTGACGGTTGTGGGTTGTTTCACAAGACCACTGATGAGGCACTCAAGGATGTTGAGAGCCGCAAGTGCACCAGAAACCTGGGAGTGACTCCACAATACACACAACAGCCGCAAAGAAGAGTTTGGAGGCTGCAGTATACACACCGTCCATGCTCACCCGGCCAAGCGGAGACATGGAAGCGCCGCCAATATACACCAAGGCAGCAGTTCCATCCAAGAGCGAAGGCGGCCCCTGCGTGCCACCATCAACCGGAAGTCCAGACATCAGCAATCCTTGTTGCACCATGGTGGCCAAGGCCACCATGGTTCCTGCTGCTCTTAATACTATCGAGGGGCCTGTACCAGAAAATACCTGTCAGTCGGGACCTATTGTCACAAGGGGGAGGACAGATCCTCCACCATGATCCTGCATTTTTCAATCTGACAGCATGGAGAATTCAAGCAGGACTTTATCGCCAACAGTATCAACAATCATACTGAACGTGAGGAAGCCATCTACGTGGAAGTCCTATAAACAGAAATGTTCTTGTTTCGTTTCCTTTGCAAGGGAACATAGCGCTGACCCCAAGACTGTGCCATTGACAATGATACTAACTTACCTGACCAGACTACATGAGGGGCTTAGTTACTCTACAGTAAGGATGCATTTGGCTGCTATATCAGCCTATCATGAAACGGAAGGAGGGGAGACCGATATTCTCTCATCCGACTGTAAAAGCTTTCCTGAGGGGTTTGCTGAATTTACACCTCCCCCCCCAGTGACCGTACATACCACTGTGGAGTCTGTCTCTGGTTTTATCAAAGCTCATGGGATGGCCGTTTGAGCCAATGGCAACAGCCCCTGTACACTTGGTCTTCTGGAAGATGGTGCTAATAGTGGTGCTCACAACAGCCAGGAGGGCAAGTAAGATTTGTGCGCTGAGATCTGACTCTCCATACACGGTTTTCCATGCCGACTGGGTAGTATTAAGACCAGATCCATCCTTTCTCCCTAAAGTGGTGTCACCTTTCCACTTATTTCACTCTACCATCTTTCTTTCGTGAACCGAAAGATAGGGGCCAGAGGGCACTTCACACATTAGACACTTGTCAAGCCCTAGCTTTCTATCTATCCAGAACTCAGGACTTCAGGGAGGGTAACAGACTGTTTGTGTGTTACTCTGGACCGAATAGAGGTCGACCAGTGTCGAGTCAGTGACTCTCTAAATGGGTTGTGTCATGATCTGGGCTGTGCCACCAGAGGCCTACTAG